GAGGGTTCCTTGGCACCTTCCACAATGCTGGCTTTATCTGTCAACCAGTGAGACTGTGTTCCGAGGCCTCAGGTCTCAAGCCCCAGGTGGATCACAGGTAGAGGAAGGAAGCAGGAGCCAGGACTTTCCCTTCAGGAGATTTCTTTCTTTTCATCTTATGCTCTTAAGAATAGGGAAGCAGCTTCATTTAGTTGCTGTGACTTTTCTTGGAAAGGAAATTTTTGATCAGATGGAACAGCTGTATTTTGCTGTTGAGAACAAAGGAAGGAACTTGTTAAGGAATTTCTCATCAATTGATGGGATCGTTGAACTGGACAGAATTTCAGGGGTCATCTAGTCCAGCGTCCTGACCAGCACAGGATTGATTTCTCCATTAGTGCTTTCCAAACACTGGGTTCTGATCAATGACTGCGACATCAAATTTAGTGTGTAGTGACCAGCATTTCTTCAAAAGTGAAATAGAATAGAAAATATTACAGTGCCCCTCAGGATGTGAGGGTGAATATGTGTGCATACCTTCAGTGGGTGGCTGTAAAAACAATAGAATTTGCAAATTCATTGCCTTGACCTCCACTTAAGACTCTCCCAGCCAGGAACTCCTCACTACAGGCCTTGATGGACTGTTCTGTTAACATGAGTATTTTTTTTTAATAATTTCATTTATTTTTGGCTGTGCTGGTCTTCATTGCTGTGAGGACTTTTCTCTAATTATGGCAAGCAGGGGCTACTCTTCGTTGTGGTATGCAGGCTTCTCCTGTGTTGGCAGGCAGATTCTTTACCACCAAGCCACCAGGAAAGCCCAGCATGTGTATCCTTATCTTAATTGTCTGCCCTGCATTTAGTCCTAGAATGAATGAGTTACTGGAAGTGGGCTCCTTCATCTTGGTCCTGTGTTCTCAGGATTCTGTCTCTGAGAACGTATCTGGGCACCAGCGCTGCCTGGACTGCTCTTATTAGATGTTCCACTCTGAGTGTTTGATGCAAGGTGGCAAAGTAGCAAAGGAAGACACTTCTTATGTGAACTGGCTGGAGAAGCATCCTTACAGGGTGACCTCACATCACAGCTCCACCCTGAAGGGCTTCTTCGGCTTTGACGTGCTCTTCCGGAGGCCGTCCTGACCCCCTGAGACCCGGTGAGGGTCCCGTGTTCTCCTCCTGTCCTTGTCCCCATCGCAGTGCTGACACTGCGGGGAGCAGGCAAGCTCCCGTCACTAACACACGTGTGTACCGTGTTTCCTTGGCCTGTTCTCCTGCTGTCGCTGCAGTAAACTTCTCAAGAGCAGAGAATGGGTCTCGTTCATTACAGTGTAAGCGCCCAGCGTGTCACAAGCCCTCGGAATGTGTGTGTGCATGTTCTGGACTCAGTGAAATAACATTTGCCGTCCTCAGTGACTCGGACGGTGACAGAGGTACCCCTTCCTGGAAGACAGGTGTCTGGGAGATAGAAAGTGGGCTTGACTTTGGGAATCAATTCACAGTCCAAGTGATCCACGAGGAATCAGGGAACGGTCCAGTGGTCACAGTGAATAACTGCGGTGAAAGCTTTCCATGAGGACAGGTGGCCCTTCAGAGATGGATGCACCATTGCTGCGTCATAAATGCTATCTCAGACTGTGTGTGATTTACGCTTTTACGTGTACTTATGTAGCCCTTGGGAAGCCTGGCGTGCTTTAGTCGCTGGGGTCACAAAGAGTCGGACACCACTTGGCAACTGAACAACATGTGGCCCTTGGAACAGTCTGGGAAGACAGATGTTAGTGGCCCTGCCATTTTTCAGATTGGAAAACTGAGGTTTGGTGCAGCTAATGAGTTGCTCCCGGGACCACAGCTGGGACTGGTGTCAGCACCACCTGGCGATGAAAGGGCTCACGCCAAGCCCATGCTGTTTTAACTTGAGTGGCCCTTGAACAACTTGGGTTTGACTTGCATGGGGCCAGATTCTTTTCAGTAAGTGCCTGCTTACAGGGTATGAGCCGGCCCGGCCTAGGCATGGTTGAACCTGTAGCCGAGGAACCTTGGATACGCATACGGAGGGACCCCGTATACAGAGGCTTGACTGAAAAGTTTACCCTCAGATTTATGATGACCCGGGTGTTGGTGCCACGAGGACCCATCATACACACACACCTTTCCAAGTTGTGAAATACCACGTTCTAATAATTTACATTTAGGTCCAATTTTGTTGTATGCTTCTCTGAACAGCAGCCCTTTCGGTGGTGGGTGGGGGGTGGCCTCGAATACCTTTGATTTGGAAGGCTGCTGCCTCAGGGCTGGGTGGGGACTTTGAGAGGACTCCTCTCCTCCTCAGCTCCGTGGCATCCCCTCCTGGGGGCCGTGGGTCTGATGTGTTAGAGATGCACTGGTCCATCCACAGTAGGGAAGGATGCTACAGGAAGGATGCTGAATACAAAAAGGACTGGATGGGCCACGTGGCTGTTGAGAAGTCTGTCTGCTGGGAGTGGCGATGTTTGACATGGGGCTGGAAATGAGGTAGAAGCCATGCTCTGAGCTGGGGTCCAGGAGGTGGTGGGTGTCGGCCAGAGGAAGGAGTCCTCCGGGGGTTGGGGGCACCCCTCATCTGGGCTATGGGGCCTGTGCTGTGGGTCATCCCCTCTCGTGGGGCCTGCACCCCGAGTGCTGAGGCTAATATGCTTCATCCTCCTGCCCCCACAGGCTGCTGGCCTCTGTGAGACCAAGTTAAAAGAGTCCCCCTATGTCAGTACATGTTTGACGTCAGACCTGTAAAGTCAAGGACAGTTCTTACGAGTTTGTATGAAAGATATTCATGGCTGGGCCTGATCTGTTGTACCGTTTAAGGGTTTGCAAAGTGTACTTACCTCACAGACAGAGGCAGCATGGACCAGCTCACCTATCCCCAGGAGGACAATGACCCTCAGGCATTTTTCTGGAAGGTCATTGCTTCTTATCGCCCTCATAGTGGATTCTATCATAGACACTGGCCTGCTCCTCTGTGTAATGTGTGGCCTGCTGGGGTGCTGTGAACTTTGCTTTGCTTTTAAAGAGCCTGATGTAGTAACAGAAAGAAGCTGAGTGTCCTCAGACCTGAACTCTAACCATGGTGCCAACTGTATGTGTGACATTGAGTCTGGGGACCCTCAGTCTCACCTGCAGGATTCTGTTGCCATGTCATTTCTTTCCTCCTGGGATGATTGTACCCCAAATCTATTTTACATGTTAATTCCCCATCTCATACACACGTGCACTGCAGTTTATGCAGTGAACTCCTAATCATTCTTCAAAACCTAGCTCAAACATCACTTTTTCCCACGGTGCCTTCATTCAACAGTGATTTATTGAGCATGTACTATGTGCCAGATGCCGGGGGCCTAGCACTGAATGAAGCAGACCTTGCCTCGATGTTCCTGCAGCCCTGGATTTGTGATGGGGTCCCTGTCTTCTGCAGGCCCAGCCTGGGGACCAGAACAGTGGACTCAGAGAATAAACGCTTGCCCCTCTGGTCCTGCCATTTCTGTCCGTCTTGTGCCAGCCCCTAGAAGACATGGAGCTGGAGCACAGTGCCAGGACTAGCTGAGTTGCTGCAAAGATGCTTCTCCTACTACAGTCCCTGCAGGAGCATGTGGATTTTCCATAACGTGGGGACCTGATGGGGAACCACAGGCTTCCAGAGCCTGATCCTTCCTGCCTTCTCCATGCCGGCAGCAACTTGGCTGCTGCCAGAGCCCAGTGTGTGCCGAGGACCAGCACAGTCAGCAGGATCCTGCGATGAGCCCCGGGGAGAGGCCCCACTGGCAGGAAGCACAGGGGCCCCCCTTTCACCTGCACGCGGGGGCAGGCATTTCCTGGCCATTGTTTGCAGGGGCTGCCGCTGCTGATAGTTGCTATTTCCGTCCAGCAGCCAAGAGGGGCTGGAGCAGCCGCGTTCTTTCAGGCCCGCCTCTCCTGTGCGGCTTTCCCAGGCCCGCCTCACAGCCCCTGGGGAAGCAGCGGCAGGACTGACCAAACTGCCTCCCACCCTGTTAGCAACAGGAGGTCTTGGGAGAGGAGATGCTCTCTTGTGAAAATAAACGTGGCAGCCCCACCTCTGCGCACACAGGCGCTTTCACGTAGGTTCCCTGTTCACTTTCATTCTTCTTGGCTGGCGCCATTGTCTTAGGACCATGTGTTTTTGAATCGTTGCTGCTATTGAATTCATGCACCCTGGCAGGACTCAGATGTGGACACCCTGGGCTCGGAGATGTAGACTGTGTCCCCAAGATAAACTGGAGAGAAATCTGATTCTTCAAAGTTCGGTGCGGGAAGAAGTTTGGAATTGTGTAGTGCACAGGCTACGTAGGCTTGGTTAGCGTTTCTCATTATGAGCTGAAAGACTTAAGATCTATTTTCAGTGGCTCATTACCCACCCAGATTGCTTCCGCCAAAGTGCATCATAACCCTGGGCTGATTAGAGATCTTGCCCTGCCCTTTTGGACCGAAAGGTGTGTCTGCGAGATGAAAGCGGGGAGGATAATAAGATGGAGCTGGCCGCTGGGGGTTTCTCTTTTTAGCAGCGTGGAGTAGTAATTGCAGCTTCCGAGTCTCTTTATTTTGACCTCTCTCCTGTGTGTGTTGTCTTTAGAGGTCTGGGGCAGGGGACACTGGTCATCATTCCATGGCTTAAATGCTATTTCGGACCCTCCTGCAAGTGGTGGCCGTCTCGGAAGGAGTCCCCAGAGTCAGTGCCCCATCCTGGCTCCGTGGAATCCAAGATCAAACGCTCCCTCTCTGGTCCAAAAGGGACCATCTCACCCAACCCCGGGAGGGCAGCCCTCCTGCCTCCACCCTCTGCCTGAGTGAGATGGGGAAGCCCCCTCCTCTTCTCTTGCTCTTCAGGCACTGTGACCAGGGTCCGGGGTGGGGGAGGAGGTGCGGGAGCCCTTGGGGCATCGTCCACGGCTCACAGACACTCTCCTTGTCCCCACAGTGTGGGCCCTGCCACCACGACGGTCCCCGCGGTGGCACTTTGATGCGGCCGGAGCACTATGTACAGTGTCGAAGACCTGCTGATCTCCCACGGCTACAAGCTGTCGAGGAAGCTGCCAGCCCCCCGCGAGGATGCCGGCGAGGGGCGCCAGCCCGCGAGGACCGTGGTGCCCGCGGGCCCCGGCCTGCTGAATGGCTGTGACGAAGGCCCCACTGCCCTCCCCCGGGGCAAGGCCTCTCCAGGGACGGGCCTCCTGAGCGACCCCGAGAGCCGCCGCCTCAGGCCGAGGGGCCACGGGGAGCGCCCCAGCGCTGCGGCTGCTACCAGGATCTCCGAGGCTGGGTAAGCTCCACCACGACCCGCCGGCTCCCTTGGCCCCGGGGGTCTGGTAGCAGGCGTACGTGTGCGTCCTGGCCGCCGTCTGTGTGTGGCCGGGGCCTGGGAGGGAGGGGAACTGAGCGGCGAGACCGCATCTTCCCTGGAGCATCTGGGATGCTCGGTGGTGCTCAGTGCAGGGTCGGGTGTATGAAGCCTTCAGCACACAGTGACAAGCGGGCGGATTCTCTCCTGCCAACGCGACATTTTAATCCTCAGCCTCCTTGTTCCCTCATAGTCTCTTCATGTCTCCTCAGCCAGGAATCATTTAAAAACTCTAGAAAGGCCAGTTTATGTCAGGCACACACTCCAAGCACATCTAGCCTCCTTGTTAACACATTCCAATACCTTACAGAGTTGAAACACCTGTACGTACCTAAATACAGATGCGTTCCAATACCTTGTACATGACAGCGTTGAGAGACACCTGTGCTCCCCTCCACTTGGGCAAAAGCAAACCTCTCTTCTCTCATATTCAAGTCATTCCTGTGGCCTCCAACACATCTTTTCCCATCATTCATGGGCCCTGAGGTGGGCATCCTGTCTCAATACAGCTGCGTCTGTGGGTGTTTTCTTACAACTGAAAAAGAGGGTGGACTGGCTGGTGGCTGGGGAGGGAGGTAAATAGGAGGGAATTTGAGCAGCTTGCCACAAACCCTGCAGCCCACAGCCAGCAGTTTTAACCTGGAGGAACTTTTGTCATCGCTTCCTAAAGCTGTGTTTGTCTTTAATACTACACGGGGACTAGGCTTAGGCTGGTGGGGGCCTCTGTCTACAAGTAGAAGCAGAGGCCTGTGTTTAAGGCAACAAACCAACATGCAGACGGGACAGTGAGTCAAGTCCAAAGGGGATGAATGGCCTCCTATGGTTTCAAGTCACCTGTCTGTCCACAGGGAGAATCTTTCTTGTTGGTTGACAGTCTTCAGGCAAAAAGGGAAGGGGTCTTGCCTTTCCAAGTCAGAGCAGTCAACCCCTTGGTCATGGAGTACTCCCCAAGGGGAGGGCGCCTCTTCACGCTCCTTGGAGCAGACACAGGTTTGCGTTACTACCCAGACCCACCTCTTCAGGGAGGGCTAGAATTGTCAGCGATGGGGCAGGTTCAGGAAGGATGGAGAAGGACTTGAAGCTGCTCCTGTTTAAGCATGTCCTTCAGAACTTGCACTTGTGTCTACTGGCACCTTGGGCCCCGGTCTTGGCAGCCACAGTCCCTGAAAAGCCTGCCCAGCATGGACTTTGGAAGAGGGGGCTTGTGGGTGCGTTGACCAAGGGTCAGGACAGCCTTTGCTTCTACCGCACAAGCGCTGGGTGTTACTCTGCCTCCTGGGCTTCCGGTTCTCTGCAGAGTGTACCTGTACTTCCCGCCCTGGATTTCAGGGCGCTGAGGTGCACCCTGCCCCCCTGCCCCGTGTGTCCCACAGAGCTCACTGCAGTGCTGCACACACGGGGTGCTCAGGATAAGCCCCAAGATCCAGTTCATCCTTCCAGCCTCGTGACAGCCATCGAGGAGCCGAAGGCTCAGTTTTGAATGAGGTGAAAAGATGGCGGCCGTGGAATCCCCATGAACATGCCATGTGTGGGGTCCTCCCAGTCCTGGAGGGCTGAATCAGATCCAGGTTGGGTCTTGGGTGGTGGGGGCAACAGAATCCCCGTTAGGATTCTCTGTGGGCACTGAGGCCCCCGCCCTGTCCACAGCTTGCCCCGGACTCCCCAGCCCCCTGTGATCACGGGGCCTGAGGACTGCAAGGCCCTGCAGCCCGGCCTCTGTCCAGCCCTTGGGCGCCTTTCCTCCTGTCTTGAATGAGGGGCTCAGCTGGTTTGAGAGTATCGCCGGCACGGCTTTGTCCATCCACAGAGTTCTGGCAGATCCGGCCATTCCCTCCCAGTTCTGAGGTCTACTGGTTAACTTGGGAGGTGTTGAGCTTTGGGGTTGAAAGTTGTCTTGTAGGGTAGAGAGAGACAGTGCACACATGTTGGCAAAGACCCATCCCAACGCCCAGCACCTCGGAGACCTGCTGCTGGGCTTCCCGGGCTGAAATGAAAAGACATTTTCTTTCTCAGTGGCCATTAGAGAGCTGGAAACAGGAGGCAAACGGAAAGGTAAGCGGGAGGAAAATTATTTTTCCCTTTCAGCAGAAACGTGCTCTGAGGGGAAATAAATAAATAGGAAATAAAACTTCAACTTGTGAAGCCAAATTCTCTGGCTCCTGGGAATTCTGAATCTGCATGGATCAGTGGTGCTTGGCCACATCCCAGCCAGCCTTCAGTTACTGGCCCCTGCAGTGACCCCGCTGTTCTGGCCTCCGGGTCTGGTCGGGGAAGGGTCGGGCGATGGGGCCCAGGAGGTGCTCCCCAACTCCTGGGCATCAGGGTGACCTGAAAGCATCATGAGGACCCCTCACCTGCAGTTTCTCATGAGTCCCTGCACTATGTCCCTCAGCACCCCGTGGACCTCCCGGGGACAGCTTGGAAGGCCACAGGGGCCAGAAGGGGACTGGAATGTTTTATTTTATTCTGGCAGGCTGGCAGAGAGGCAGGCACATTAGCAATGTCATTATAGCCAAGAGCGCGAAGCCCAGGGAATGTCAGTGACTCTGCAAGGGCCACTCGCTCAGTGCTTCCGTGGAGGGAAGCCAGGCTCTGGCTGCAGCGACACTGGACCTGGCCGCACCCTTGCTGGCGGGGCTCTCCCTGGGCTGGACCATCCTCACTTCCTCATCCCCTCCCGCTGCTGGCAGGTGAGGGGTCAGCTCCCCAGCACGGCCGCGCCCCTTCCTGTCTAGGGAGCTGCACAAGGACCACATCTGTGCTCCCAGACCAGAGCTGGGCAGTGATGCCCAGCCACACGAGCAGGGGCACCATCGCTGTCATCTGGGGCGTGGCTGGAACTTCAGGATTCCCGAGGGAGGAGGAAGATGATAAGACTGATAAGTACAGTCGCCTTAGAGTTTCTCACGTATGAGCTGGTTATATCTAGGAAAACGCTTAAGGAAAATAAAAGCAGGGACACAGAACAACTTGCTCCCATGAAACTTGTAAAGCACTGTTATCAGGCATTCCCTGTTTCCTTACTGTGTTCCCTTTCAAATGTTATAATTGGAGGAAGCTGTAAAATAACGTAACATAGCAGAGGTTTGAATCTGAAAGTTGTACCATAATACGCTCTTCTCTGCTTACCCCAGAAATCCTGGCTGAAGTTTGTGCTAGTTAACCATGAGACAAGCTTGTAATTATCTGCTGTCAACAGCACAGTTGTGACTGATTAGAGACTCCCCAGTCTGGGAGGGTCTCTGATGCGGGGTCTGGGGCCCCCGTCTGGGGAGGCTTCCATCTGCTCAGTGAACATTGTTCTAGGTGGTGCTACTGGATTCAGTAAACAGTTCCTTTTTGGAGGCTTTTTAAGCTTCTCTCAAATCCCATCTTGCTTATAATGGCTTTCCTAAAAAGGGATGTCTCGAGTTTAACATCTGGTTCCATGTATCTCTTTTTCTGTACAGAATGACACTTCCACAAACATCTCTGGTCTTGTTTCATCTCCTTGCTTCATTTCCTAGGTGTTAGGCCTTGTTAATTTGACCTCTTCACTGAGCAAAGTATGAGTTATGTGAGCTGGTGTCTCAGCCACACACGTGAGGATTCAGTCCTGTTTCCCCTCTGTCTTGCTGTAAACTCTTCTCCTGGGGCACTTTGTTCTTGTTCGTCAGCAGTGTAAGCTTCCAGAAGCCTGGACGCCGGTCCTCTCTCTGCACACATTCCCGTGTTGCTCTTCCGTCACCGTGTTTTCCCAAGAAGAAGCAGGTTGGACTGTTTGAACATGAGATTTCAGGAAGAACAGTGTGAAGAAGTGTTTCAGAATTATCGGGAAGACTTCAGAGAAAACAGGGATGGGAGTGTGCAGCGCTTCTAGAATTAGTGGGAAGACAGCAGCAGTGCAGCCTGGAGTTCCACTTGTCTAAGAGCCACGTTACCACCAAGAGGAGACTTGTCGGTGATGAGTTTCTTCTTTAACTAGAGAACTAGGTTAGTTAACAAGCTAAGAAACGCCCATATATATCTGTAAGTGTGTTTGTTAGTCATGTGTCCAACTCTTGGCAACCCCATGGACTATAGCTTGCCAGGATACTCTGTCCATGGAATTCTCTAGGAAGGAATACTGGAGTGGGTAGCCATTCCCTTCTCCAGGGGATCTTCCCAACCCATGAATCAAAACTGGGTCTCCTGCATTGCAGGCAGGTTCTTTTCCCATGTGGATATGGGAAGCTCGTATCCATAAGGATATGTGCTTGTTACAGAGAAAATAGGAAACTTCTGGAGTAATCTGCCTTACTTATTGGTTTACTGGGTCCCAACTTGCTCTTCCTGCTTTGTTTGAATAAACTAAACACTGGGTGACTGGACATCATCGTTATGGATCCTCCCTTAGAGACTGGCCGGAGGGGCAGGGTCTTGTTATGACAGTCAGGACATCGTGGCTTCCTGCTTTTGTGAAGGCCCATTGATCACAGTTGAGGAGGGGACAATCCCAGTCTAAAATAAGCCTGCACTAAGACAAACACTCATTCTTTCTCTCTTTCCTGCGCGGCCCTCACCCTCTTCATTGGACGAAGTGAGGCAAGAGCTTTGAAACAGATCCTACTCCACTGAGAACTGATATTAATTGGGTTCAGATAGTACCAATAGCTGAAGACAAGGAATTAGTATATTAGACTCTCTGCCAATCAGGTGACATGTATTATCTTCATGAATCCCTCTCAATACACTTGAGAAGGAAAACGTTAGGACCACCCACTCGATAGCGATGAGGAGGCTGAGGCCGGGGGCGGGGGTGAAGCGTGTTGCTGAGGATACTGGTGACAAAGCCAGGTCCCCGTCATCAAGACGCACACACACTCCCGGCAGGTTGGCCACCCTGCTCTCCTCCGGTGGCATCACCCGTGGTCTGCTCGGCCCTGGGCAGCTGCCCCGTGGTT